TAATCAAATATGAAAATTGACCCTCTCCGTGGTGCTGAAATGGTGCTCTTCACTGAACGACTCCTTGTCTCCATACTGTCCTTTCCCACCAGTTGCATGATAAAGCTAAAAACACTTCAATTTACGTCTATAACACTTTTGATGCATGATTAGGGGGAGAAGTGTTCACAATGGCAATAAGAACCCAACACAATATGCAAATCTTCTCAAAAAGGGATTTTAAAATAATGACAGGTATCTAAGCTATATACATAGCCTTCAATAAAACTTAAAGTGGATAGATGCTTTCAAAATAATCAAATATGAAAATTGACCCTCTCCATGGTGCTGAAATGGTGCTCTTCACTGAACAACTCATTGTCTCCATACTGTCCTTTCCCACCAGTTGCATGATAAAGCTAAAAACACTTCAATTTACGTCTATAACACTTTTGATGCATGTTTAGGGGGAGAAGTGTTCGCAATGGCAATAAGAACCCAACACAATATGCAAATCTTCTCAAAGAGGGATTTTAAAATAATGGCACGTATCTATATGAAACCATCTTAAACGTGATCCCATATGACACATAATACACTACATTGCCCACGAGTAGAAGCATTTGTTGTACTGTATGTAAATAAATGTGGCCACATTTACAGGCCTAAACAACCACACCAATGCACGTCTGTGCACAATGAAACTGACATTCTTTCAATCGATTTTCATGACATTTTCTTTTCTAGCGACATGCACACCTACCGTATTTGCCTGCCGACCCAAGCTGGCAGAATACGGACATCAAAAACAGGGCTCTCCATACTCGTGGATGCATCATATTAACTATCCACGGGATTGAAGTCAGCACGCGTTGTTTTATCGCCCTCCGTCAAGAATTTAAATCCACATTTTGTCTGTCGGTGCCGCAGGCTTGTGCTAAACGCTCGTAGCACAAGTGATGGACGCGTCAGGTAAGACAACTTAACTGTAGGCTTTCGTTTTAGGCAGTAATAAACACACAGAGACATTCACGAATGCACTGAATTTCTGGTGCGGATCTGGAGCGGGAATCACGATCTTCCTTCATCGGTGTGGTGGGGACCCGCAGTTGCGTCACAGGGAAACCAGGAGGTTTGAGAAGTGTCTTACATGCAAAATGAAGGAAAGGGGGCTAGAGCCTATACATCTGGCTCCTGGTTTACCTATGAATGAAAGAGTGGGCAGGATGTGTGGCTGTCATCGACTGCAGAAGATGATGAATTCCTTCTGTTGGTTATTGTTTCCCTCCTCCCACGAAGAGACTGAGGTGAAAAGCAAAATGACATCACATATCACTGAGGAAAGAACTGATATCAGATGAATATGAGGTCAATCCATGTCCAATGACAAATGCTAATTGTTACTCGCACCTTTATTTGGAATCATACAGAAACGAATATGGAATGTTTAACATGATGGCAATCATTTTGTGCAGTAGTAGTGCCAGTGGGCTGAGTGGCCATTTGAAATATAATATCACACTTGGGGTATTTGTATTAAATTGCAAAGTTTCTGTTGTTTAAAAAGGATATACAAAAAAGGCTCACAGCTGTCAAACATATGACAAATGAACATTTATTGTATATCCCCCTATGTGTTTCCATAGGAAACCACTGTCAAAAGAAAACCAATGTCATACTCAGTCATCATCATTTATACAGTACGTCACCATAATCGACCACCAATTGAGACAGTAGCAACAAAACACGTCATGTTTTACAAGGAGGTGCACGCGATTAAGCTGAGCTGTGGTGCCACCAACTGCCCGCATATTGTCAGTGCAATATTATTCTTATACATTCTGGTATTATATTTTATGAGCATGGCTTTGCCATTAGACTGTTACAATACATGTTTAAAATAGTGACCATATGATGCACAATATTTAGCTCCACAACAAAATGTAAAAAAAAAAAAGTATTTTTTCCAAAATATTCCAAAATATTTTGAACAATCATTCTCTTGATCTTTGTTTTTCCTCTTAGTTTTGCTATGACTGTAAATGTGAAGGTCTAATGAAAGGTGGCCTCCAGCTATATATGTAAATGTTTTATAGAGAGGCCCTAGCATACTTAAAATCTTTCAATCTCTGTCCCAAAATCTCGCCATGTTCCCCTTTACCCCCACTGCATGGCATTTCACCTTGGTGGAATCTGTGTATGCCTGTTTGGTAGGTTGCTAAGGCAGCCAGAGGGAGTTTTTGAAAGGCGACCTACTGGGCAACTTCCCATAACCCCTTCCCATTTGTGGTTTCACATGTCCTGGCATTTAGACACCACATTAGCAGACACTATGTTTTAGTTACATTTCTTATTTAGTGACTTAATAAAAACAAAGCAATTTTTTTTTAGATACTATAAGTAATTTATTTTTTATGGCACTGTCATCTAAAATAAAAATAAGGAATTAAAAAAAAAAGCTAAATTTAAACTTAGTTCTGTTTATTGTCTCATTTTATATATTTATTTCAATTTAAGGAATTAAAAAAAAACTATGCAAGTTATTTAACCGATAGACATCATGGCATGAATCTTTATTTGAATAAATAGATTTGACAGCTGTTATTGAAGCACTGCTGAATTTCAGTTGTGGTTACCTGGCAACATAAACTCCATGTGTTTTGACCTTGTCAGAATTCATTTTTAAACTATCATCTTCCCACCTGACACATGCCTGTCCCAGAATTGCTCTGTAATCCAGGAATTTTCAGAGGCTGCTCTCATGATGTGCTGAAAATAAATTTGATTAGGATTAATGATGAGACACTGTGATGATGAAACCCATTTGTAAGATTAAATTAAGATCTTAAATGGTAATGTTGCTGTTTTTGATCAGAACATCTAACCTTTGAATGACTACACTTTCCATTAGAAATATATACACACACAAACAATAAACAGGACTAAAAGGTCTTCAAAGTAATTGAACTATCTGTGTCAGTCAATGTTAGTATAATAACATACAATTTATCGAAACCAAATAATTTTTAAGCTTCATACTTTTTTCCCCCATACAATTATTTTGTGCATTTAATTTTTTGATTTCACCACAACCTGTCAACCTAGAAATATAAATGCCAGCCCGTCCCCGTCCCCAATCCCAATCACCCCCCAGCCCCCCGCCCTTGGTTTGCTGAAAATAATGAACTAAAAGACCACAATACATTGCATTCACACAGATGCATTCAGAGATATAAAATATATAAAAGATTTTACTCATTTTGCATTAATATATACACATTTGTATTCTGTATCAACAAGTCTAAATAAAGTGTTTTGAGATTGTTGAGTCTCTGCCCCATCATGTCCACTCTTTTTTCCAAGAGGCCCTTAGGAAGCAGCCTGGTGACGGGGTTCAGACTGGAAGTCTATTAATAACTATGACAGCAGCTGTGGAGTAACATGGGCTTCTCAGACACTATGGTTAGCCTGGCGAACAGGCAGAACTTCGGGGGCTGCAGTGACAGAGATGGTATTTGGTATATTTGATGACACAAATACACAGTTATATTACTTCCCAGGTGTAATGTAGGAGTTTATGACACAAGAAAAACAAATTAAGAACATCCCATCATTGAAAGCCCTCCTCTCATGACTGCATACTATTTTATATAGCTGAAGGCATTTAAAGACAAATACATTAGATGAACTGACAATTCATGGAAATACATTTAAAAATATGCAAGAGCTCTATAATTAAACTCATACTAATCTGGGCATCATTTAGCATGATCTTTAATATTATTAAAGTAAAAGCAAGAAGTGCATATTTAATCAAAACACTCATATTATTTTCTTTTCTTGCTTGAACTCAAAATGTCAATTAATTATTTAGGATGAGGTTGTAATTTCTGTGTTTAACAAAGCAAAACCTAAATAGGGATAGTTCACCCAAAAATGAAACTTCTATTATCATTTACTCACCCTCATGTCAACCCCAACCTGTATTATTTTCTTTCTTGATTTTTTGAAGAGTCCATAAAAAAAAAAACGTACAGTAACACTGGGTCCCATTGACCTTCACTGTATGGACAAAACAAAAAACACAGAGCTATTTTTCAAAACATTGTATTTTCTGTTCAACAAAAGAAAAAAAATCATACCTTTATTCCAGATACCACAGAACCGTTTTGAGTGAAAACAGCATTAGATGCATAAGCTCAGATCGATATGACACGGCCTTTGATCAATCAGGTCCAAAAACAAATACAAAACCAATGCTAATTAAAAGAAAGTTGATAAAAAGATTAAATCCAATATTTGATAATGATATAACATAAGAACTTTATAAGCAATGTTTTGTAGGCCAGTTATTTTTGACATGGAACACCACAAGTATAACAAGATGCGGGGAAAAATCTCAACCAAGTACAAAAACTATCAATTTTTACTTGTTATTCCCTGTGTGAGAAAAGTCAATAAGATTGAGTTAAATGCAATAACATTAACTTCTGTTGGGAAAAAGAAAATCCTCTCCAGGTCAAAATGACTGGAATACACCATGAGGGTTCAATCTAATTTCAGATTCAAATAATATTTCAACTAGAAGACAGTGGCTTAAAAGGGAAGTATCCTTTAGTTATTTGTGCAAAGGTGAAAGCCAAAGTTGGGAAATACGTTGAAAAGAAAACTATAACTTCATCATAAAAATGGCGAGCCTTTCTTATTCCGTGGATGTTAAATAAGCCAAAACCCCATGTAGAATTATCAATGCAATATTATTTTTATTTTGGTAAAAGAGCTCTTCCTGGTAAGCATCCTCTTGTGCAAAAGAAATGACAGCACATTCTATGTGACCTGTGCCACCTCATGCCTCATCCATTTGCTCCACCCAGCTGCTGGAAACCATACCTCTGACATGACAGCTGAGGAAGCAAGGTTTAGAAAAGAGAGAGAGAAGTGGCGACCATGTGGGGGGATAACAGTGACAGAAAAATGTGGGTGGGGGCAGATGGGGTGCTAGCTACACTATATATAGTCCAGCTTTGCTGCTTGACCCTCATTCTACCACACACCCTTAAGCGAACCGGCATTTGCACACCTTACAAACCCAGTCATGAGCAGGGCATATTCAGCTTCAGCCGAGACGGCTTCCTCTTACCGCCGTACCTTCGGCTCCGGCCTGGGCTCCTCCATATTCTCTGGCCGTGCAGGTTCCTCTGGATCCTCTCGTGTGTCTTCCAAAGTTTATGAGATGACCAAGACAGCCTCTTCTCCCATTTTTTCCAGCCACCGTGCATCCAGCTCTTCATTTGGTGGTGGAACAATGGTCCGTTCCTATGCCGGAGAGAAGCTGGACTTCAATCTGGCCGACGCCATGAACCAGGATTTCCTCAACACACGCACTAATGAGAAGGCAGAGCTGCAACATCTCAACGACCGTTTCGCCAGCTACATCGAGAAGGTGCGCTTCCTAGAGCAGCAGAACCAAGCATTGTCCGTGGAGATTGAACGTCTGCGGGGCCGCGAGCCCACGCGCATCGCAGAGATATATGAGGAGGAGATGAGAGAGCTGCGCAGACAGGTGGATGCACTGACCAATCAGAGGTCCCGCTTTGAGATAGAGAGGGACAACCTGGTCGATGACCTGCAGAAACTAAAACAGAGGTGAGACCTTCAAGAAATATTTAGGGCTATGCATTTGAGTTTTTTGACCTTTCGATTCATTCAGGTTAATTTACAGGCTAATTTTCGATTCATTCAGGTTAATTTTCTACTAAATGTAGATTGACAGCTTTGTGCTCATCTTCACTGAAGTTCGAAAACTAGTTGTTGACAAAACTAGCTCTGAACTTCAATATCCAGACAGTATCTCTTACAATACCGGTGTTGTGCATTTTGACCTTTCGATTCATTCAGGTTAATTTACAGGCTAATTTTCGATTCATTCAGGTTAATTTTCTACTAAATGTAGATTGACAGCTTTGTGCTCATCTTCACTGAAGTTCGAAATAACAGTTGTTGACAAAACTAGCTCTGAACTTCAATATCCAGACAGTATCTCTTACAATACCGGTGTTGTGTTGAAGTGATTTGATTTATTTCTCACAGAGTACATAACTGCTTACTTTTTGGAGGCATAGTGACTTTTATTATATAGTATACTCTTAAAAATAAAGGTTCTTTATTGGCATATATGGTTCCATGAAGAACCTTTAACATCCATGGAACCTTCCCATTCCACAAAAAACATTCTTTAGATTATGTTCTTCTCACTAAGTAAAAATATTCTAGTAAGAACTGTTCTCTGAAAGGTTCTTTGGGAACCAAAAATGGTTCTTCTTTGGCATCGCTGCAAAAAAATCCCCTTTTAATACCTTTATTTTTAAGTGTGTATGTGGGTCCAGGAAGAAGGCACAGTGTACTGGAAGTCATGATGGAGCATGTGACTCATGTACGTCATTGAATTGGGAACTTGGAAAAGGATAGAGTATTATTAGACATCTACCTACTATTCCTAACTGTTAAACTTCTCCCCAAAACATTCTAGAACAATATGATTGGTATGCATTCAGGTTCTCCAACAATGACATCATGGTCAGATTTCTAAAACACAAGCACTAGACATGAAATGGAGACCACACAAGACAGAGGTCAGGACCACCTCAGACGTAAAGACAACAGGAATGCAAGAATGCTTATGTCTGATACGGTAACCGCAAACAGCAACCACTGGTGTAACTCATGTCTGTGTATGATGTTGGAAAGAGTATAAGAGTGATATTCCTATTTGCAAAAGGACCCAGAGTCACATTACACACTGCCCAGATTAACCTGCTATTATTAGCCTCTTAAGTATACCCCCCAGCACTGCAGAGAATGTGTGACCCTAAAAATAACCCTTATCTCCCTCATAGTGTGTGTGTGTGTGTGTGTGTGTGTGTGTGTGTGTGTTTGTGTGTGTTAGTGCATTGCACTCAAGGGACCCACAGTAACAACTCCACGTTATCAGCACTAATTAATGATAACTGTTTAAAGTCATCCAACAGCAATTGCTATTCACAGACATTGTTCAAAGTGAACCTGATGGTGGGCTGCTTTGAAATGAAATATAGAGATTATATAGAAGTCATTATATGACATGCAGCTATAGCTATAAGTTATTGCAACCCAGCATTGTATGAAAAAACAACTAAAATGACTCTATTATCAGTATTTTAGCTGTCCATTTCTTTTTAGAACTCCTTTCATCTCTCTGATGAAAATATCAGATGCCATCTGACTGCCAACAATTGCATTCATGAAAGCAGATATGTGCCACATTAACAGCATGCCTCTTTCAAAAGACATTTACATTCAACCTAAGCCTTGTGTGACTCCAAGCAGTATGTGAGAATATAATGTTCCATCTTGATCTCTGTGCATGAAGGAATGCCAACTTCACAAGTCTCTCTCAGCATATCTCAAAGACAGAGGACACTCAGGACACTTCTATTTCTGGCCATGTAGGAATTCTTGTATAACAAACTACAATATCAATACCATCTTGCTTAAACTGTAAAGACTTAACAGACTCGTTAGAGACATTCTGTGAAGACTCTAATATCTCTTTCTTCCACAGACTACAAGAGGAGATCCACCAGAAAGAGGAAGCTGAGAACAACCTCTCTGCTTTTAGAGCTGTATGTTCTTTAGGCCACCTATAGTTTTTAGCAAAATTTTGTAAATTTTGTTGTCAATCAAACATAAAGCATTATTGGCAAGACCCAAATCTAAGCTTCCTGTTGTTTTTTGTGCTTTATGTAGGATGTAGATGCTGCCACTCTGGTCAGGCTGGACCTGGAAAGACGTATTGAAGGCCTTCATGAAGAGATTGCATTCCTCAAGAAGATCCATGAGGAGGTTTGTATACATCTAAAGTTACATTTCTCAACATTTCCCAAAACTATATGTGACTAACTGTTCATCTCTTTCACTGTCTCTGTCTGCAACCTCCCCCACTCTCATACCCAGCGTACAGCACGTACACTGACCTTTTACTCATGAGGCTCTGAAGTCAAGTTCTTTAAATGCTTCTCTGCTTTTTAATTTGACATGTAAGGATAAAATGATCACATGTGTGTCTGTATGCATGTCAGCTGTGCACTGACAGTGAGGGGGCAGTGTAAAGCTATGGAACAGGTGGAACAGACGCATCCCTATAATTAAACAGAGACAGATTCTCTGAGACGCAGCTGTGAGAAGGGCGGTGGGAAAAGAAAAAGGCCTTACAAGGACAATTACAACATCAGAAATAAAAAAAATAATTAGAGCTACACTCTTAAAAATAAAGCTTCCAAAGGGGGGGTTTCACAGCGATGCCATAGAAAAACCATTGTAATAATCTGAAGAACGTTTTTCCACTATAAAGAATCTTCTGTGCAATGGAAAGTTTCCGTGGATGTTAAAGGTTCTTCATGGAACCATCAATGCTAATAACTTTATTTTTAAGAGTATATGTTTTATACACTTCAACATGCTGGATTCCATAGAACAAAGTCACATTCGATTCCCACTTCACTCTCAGAATGACACTTACTGGCTTCATACACCAAATCAAGCCTCAACTTGTCAAGTAAAATGACAATACATAAGCACGCTCTGAAGCCATGTCACTGTGTTTTACCTTTTCCTTTAGGAGATCCATGAGCTGCAAAACCAGATGCAGGAGAGTCAGGTGCAGATCCAAATGGACATGTCCAAACCAGACCTGACTGCCGCCCTCAGGGACATCCGCATGCAGTACGAGGGTATCGCTGCCAAGAATATCTCAGAGGCTGAGGAATGGTACAAGTCTAAGGTCTGTATCAGAGATTTTGGATAGACACACAAAGGCTATATTGATATCTACAGTATGTATATCTAGACTGAAAGTAGACGGGTGTTTGAGCTAAGCTATTTTGTTCCACCCTCAGGTGTCAGATCTGAACCAGGCAGTAAACAAGAATAATGATGCCCTCAGACAAGCCAAGCAGGAGACCATGGAGTTCCGTCACCAGCTCCAGTCCTACACTTGCGAGATTGACTCTCTCAAGGGCACCGTAAGTCCTTAAAGATTCTATGCGTGGGTTATCATTTCCCAGCCAAAATAAATATTAGCTGAGGCTCAGCACACATGAATCCATCTTATTACCAATTATGAAGTCTTTAATATGTTTCCCCAGGTGCTCAATGAGAAAATGTGATTCAGCAAAAAGCCAGTAATGGCCCAATGCAGCACTAGTTTTCTATTAATATTCCACTCAGATCATCTCAACTCTGCTTTTTCTCTTCCATCTGTACATCAGTTTCACCCTACTTCTTGTCTTTTCTTTCTCTCACTTTCTCCATCTTTTTGTCATTCCGTCTGCAGAATGAGTCTTTGATGAGGCAAATGAGGGAGATGGAGGAGAGGAATGGCCGTGAGGCCGGTACTTATCAGGACACCATTGGCAGTCTTGAGGCTGAGATCGCAAAAATGAAGGATGAAATGGCTCGCCATCTCCGTGAGTACCAGGACCTGCTGAATATTAAGATGGCACTTGATGTGGAGATCGCCACCTACAGGAAGCTTCTGGAAGGAGAGGAGAGCAGGTAAGAGGTAGAAGCTTACTGCTCCCTTAACTGATACAACAAAGCTTTATTTTATATGATTATTTATCATGTTTTTCAGGATCTCTCTTCCTGTGCAGTCCTTTTCTACCTTGAGTTTCAGAGGTGAGTTCTTCACAAGAAAAACGACTTTCACTCTACTTAAAGGGACAGTTCACCCCCCAAAATTCTGTCATTCTGAACATACATGACACAGGTGTTATTTCTTTTGTGACTTACAATGCAAGTCATCGGGATTTCAAAATACATTTGGACCCAATTGACTTTGGAAAAAACATTTTAGTGTTCCTCAGGAGAAAGGAAGTCTTACAAGGTTGAAAGAACATGAGGGTGAGTAAATGATGACAGAATTTTTTGATTTTTGGATAAACTGTCCCTTTAATGATTAGAAATCTTTGCCCAAAACTTCTGTTTTCTTCATCCACAAGGGGGGGCAAAGCCATTGTTTTTAAATACTTACCTCTCCATCTGTTTTGTGTTTGAATACCTAAACTAAAGGTGACATCAATAATGCAGTATTTATGTATTAACTATGCAAGGGTGAGTTTAATGATGCTGTGGATGTGAACTGTTACCATAGAGACCAGCCCAGAGCAGCACCACCAGCAACAACAGCGCGCATCTGAAGTCCACTCTAAGAAAACAGTTCTGATCAAGACCATTGAGACCCGGGATGGCGAGGTAACAAACACACACAAACAATTGCTTGATACAATTATTGTCATTTATGGATTTCACAGGTTGCCTAACCTCATAAACGTGTTATACACATAAACGCACGTATGCGTGTACATAATCATTATCAAAATAATTCTGTATTTTACTCTAGATTAGGACAAGTGAGGGCATGAAAGTCCTCAGTCCTCAGTGTGTAAGTTCAGTCATGGCTCATTTGTTTCATCTGTGTTTACAGTGTTTTTCAAACACTTTCCCCCCCAAAAAGTCCTGTTCCCTATTAACCAGCACTGGGTTGCACTACAGAATCCTCCAATTCTCATGTGTATCACTGTTATTATCTGTTGAATATCACACAGAGTGTTTCTGCACAGCACATATGGAGAATTTCATTTATCAAAGAATGTCCTTGCACTAGCCCAGTATTGATTTCCAGCAGGAAATTAGCTGTTTTAACTTACAGAAGTGCCTCTGTCTCTGTTCCTTATAACTGAGTATCAACCATTCACTTTAAAGCACTTTTGTGTATTCCCAACATGTATATGCAGTCATCTGTGCATGTGAATCATGTGTATCCTATTCAGACACCGTCGCTCTAATCATTCCCCTTTTTTTCTCTCGCTTCAGGTCGTCAGCGAATCCACACAGCACCAGCAGGACGTCATGTAAAGCCTACGAAACAGATTGAATTTCACTGAATCCCTTTCCCTATCTTACATTTTCACCGATGGCCTTAGGCTTTTTATGCACACACCCAGTATTGCCATGACCCATTACCACATGCGTGGATGACACACAAAGACAAACGGAAAGTGAGCTGAAGAACGAGAGGGAGAACGAGCGAAAAGGCATAATATGGATGCTGTCTGGAAAGTCCTGAAATTGGCCAGTTGATCTCAAGAGTTTTTGTTGATATGAATGTACGTGTGCATGTGTGGTAGGGTCATATCTGATAAACTGTGTTCCACTGCTATAAAAAGACAACAATAAACTGCACTGTACTTTCCTCCTATAAAATGTAAGGCTTTTGTACATTCGGATTAATCTCATACATACTGTAGTTGTAATGTTAAAAAAAAAGTCAATTTACTATAAAAGACAGCAATAAAATGCACTGTATTTTCCTCCTATAAAATTGAAGGCTTCTGTAATTTTGGATTAATTTCATACTACTATATAGTAAAAAAAATTTTTTTATTTAATTTACTACAAAAAGACAACAATGCTCTCCACTGTATTTTCATCCTATAAAATTGAAGGCTTCTGTGATTTTGGATTCATCTCATGCATTATATATAGTAAAATAATAATTTTTCAATTTAAATCAATTGCTGTGTAGACAACAACACTTCCTTAAAATCTTGGCTATAAAAAGATATTAAACATGAAGGTGAACTGTTGTTGCCCACGCAAAAGATTAACACATACTGTCCTTTAGCCAATCCAGAGTATATTAAATATTAAACAGCCTTTTCTGCAACACTAAAACAATAAAATAATTACGAAAACAAAAAATGTCAATGTAAAATATAAAACCTTTTTAAGACTTGCAATTAATGAATTGCATAAAATTACCATTTTCATTTATGAAAAACACCCATATAGAGTATAAAGTTGACAAAAAATTTAACTAGGTGTTTGAAATCAACATGCGCCTGCTAGAGATCCAAATAAAAGACAACAGCGAACCAACTGACAGGTTGAGTAAATGATGCTAAGAGATTTCACAGTAAAATACCACCTTCTGTCCTAATTCAGCATCCAGCTCTTTGTTCCGAAGGCAGTCGCATATGTGCAGACCTTCACTCTGTCACCTTACAGTTACCTCACTTTATACTGACAGGTTATGAACGCATCATCAGAACGTTAATGAGACTCTTTTATTAGTGTTAACTCTGACCTTTAGAAAGCCTCCAGGGCTATGTTGTGTTTGGAGGCTTGCGTGTCTGTTTCTGTGTCAGTACATATACGTAGGTTTGAAAATAAAAATGAAAAGAGGGTAATGCTGCTGCAAGCTGGAGAAATCAAAACCTTTTTTTAATCCTTGAATTGATCGACTTTCCTGCAGTGTTACTTTTAGTTTGATACATTTCTATGGAGACAACGGATAAAAACGAATCCAATTTTAATCCAATTAAATTTTTATCTAATTCAACTGATATAATTTGCCATAAAGCACCCCAAATCTACAGACATGAACCAGCATGCAGTCTTTTCTTATCACCAGATTTAAAAAATACACATACACACAAAAAGTACAAAATTATCGGTATGTGGACTTTCACTGCGCTTAAAGGGAATTTGACCTAGACGGCAAATGCTAATTCTTCACTTCAAACACACACACACACACACTCACAATTATAGAGTTTCTTGAGTAGTGAAAACGCTGTACTTCTTATTCAAACAGCAGTTATTGGTCATAAGGATGAAATATAATAGAGATAGGAAGTTATGATAATTTTCCACGGCACACCTGACAACCTCGGGAAACACTGGTTTAAAGAAACCCAAATCCTGACCCAGGTCAGGGTTAATTATTTCAAGTGTGAAAAGCCCTTTTAGGTAAAGTACTTTAAAGTACTAATATTTATTAAAGGTACTATATAAGGGTAAATAAAGATGTGAGGGTATGCGAAGGTACAAAGGGTATAGCCCCAGCGATAGCTTTGTACCTTTAGTGTTGGATTTCAGATGGGGTTCTCGCTCTAAATGAAATGACAAGAAATGTCTCAACACAGATTGTGGCTATTAATATAAGGGAGTACAAAACAGGCTGTAATTGGGAGCATATAATAATGCTAAATCTAGCTGATAGTGTTTTCTTAATCAAGAGAATCTAGACCACCACAGAAAGCACGTATTCTGAGCACATACACAAATGAAAGAGAAGTTTTACCAGCTCAGGCCCTCAGTCTGAGACTCGGTGGACATAAACTAGACTCATTTACCATTGCAGAAAAGCAAGGGTATATTCGAATTTTGCTGAAGTAATTTACTAATTAAAACTATGCAACAGCTCATAAGATGTGAATCATATTAAGGACCAGTGAGTATTTCTGTATTTTCAAAAACTGATAATTAAAAGGAAACCACAGCTAATAGCACATCTCTAGCTTTTTCCTTCAATTTGCAAGTAAAACAATAGGATGACAACAATAATCCATTTTAATGGGAGTTTTCATTTTCCACCATGTAAATGAATTCTACCCCTGCAGGGATATGCACATTTATTTTCGAAATGGAAAATTATGCTGTGCATCACAGAGCTACTTGAGCATGTTTTGTCTTTATTGCTGGCGCATTCCCATCAGTAACTAGTTCACACAATTTAATATGTTTCACCCCGTGCCTCAAAGGCATCAACCGCCACGTTCTTTGCCATCTATCTGCCAACTTCTTTTTTTAAACAGCTAAATGTTAAGAGGGAAATGGACACATACACACACGTACTTGACTTCAGGAGCACATCATTTATGGTTATCAGTACTGTACAAATACATGCTCAGGAATAATAATAATGGTCAACATCAATTTAAATACACACAGAGCTCCACTTGAAATCTTAATCTAATAAATTAGAAATAAATTATAATTACAAATGACCATCAATGGGACAATTCAAAAAGACAGTTCTTCAGCACACAGATGTAACCACTGATTAGAGAGAAAAAAAACATTAATAAAATTAACCAAAGCACTAGCAAGAAAACAGAAATGTAAGCATATTTACATTCAGACAATGTACAGATATTTACAGGAGAGCCAAGCTGTCACTTTGAAAGATACACAGTAAACAGAGAGGAATTTAAGCCTTTGAGCCCTTTCACTACTTCAGAGTGAGGAAAAGATTAGACTGACTCTTCATTGCTCCGACAGCCCTGATAAATACAGTGGGGAAACTGAGTGTGAAATCACCCCACATCCAAATATGAAGGTAAATCAGAAATTAAGACTTAACCCTGCTGCCAATCTGCTGCAGACTCACAGTATGACAAACGCTTTCACACATTCATACACGCCACACAAAATACTCCAAATACAGACACACTCTGTCTATATCTCCTTTTCATGCGTTCTACACACAGAAATACACAACATCTTTTTCTGTGAGAAGTCCACCACTGTAAATCTCTTCCACCCTTCATTTCTTTAATCCCTTTCAAAACTCTCTCTTGTAGGCAAGGACACTTAAATCAGTCACACGAAACCCCTTAGTGGTCACAGTTACATCGTTAGGGCTCCTCTCAATGCCACAGCCCCTGAGATTTAACTGGGAGCCACCCAAACAGTCTCTAGATACTAAGCCTTAAACGGAAAAAAACAACTAAAAAACAGATTAAGCATGTATAACTACAACACAAAAAGCAATGGTGGCACTTTCCCCACATGCACTGGCTAATGATAAACGCACAGAACATTTCATTACACGCTTGTGCAATAGGCTCAGATTGAACAGAGATTGTGTTCACCATACACGTTTGACAGATTTTGTGTAGGCCCTGACACAGAGCAGATAAAGCCATTTGAAACTGTTATAAAACGATACACACCTCCCTGCCCGTGCTGTAAACATAATGTTATCGGAAACATCTTTAAAAGGTCACAAACGAACAGGAGAACGGAAGCTTGAGTCTGTAAACTGGATATACGAATAGTCTGCCTGGCAGAATCCGAGCATGCTTTATGACAGTTTAGTCGCAAAAAAGCCAAAGCCGTATTTGGTCCCGAGTTCAGATTGTACATAATGCATCTTCAGATGTGGTCATGAGACCATTCTTCTCGGACGGAGTGAAACAGCAGCCCAATTATGGGAAGATGAGCCTCGGAGGAGCAGACAAACATACCACAACCATCTTCAGCAATATATAATGGAGTTAAAAGAAGGAGAACAGAGCCATACTGTGGTTCCACATTGTTTTGTAGGCAAATGATTTGAACAAAAATATAGCATGGGAATACAGCAAATCGATTTTGGTAGGAAAGTCATGTCAGCCATTGTGGCGGCTGAGGTAACCACATGCTCTAGATTTGATCCGGCCGCAAAGTTCTCGGAATGGTTTGTGCAGTGCAATTCCTGTTCAGTGAAGAGTACGGGGTCAACCTCTCACTGCGGGGCCTGTATGGGCTGTTAGGGGCACTTGGGAGCCTAGTCCAAATCTACAACATGTGAGCCGCCAATCAACCTGTCATGAGAGTAGCCCCTCCTGTCCGTACGTCTGTCACGGAAGTTCTGGATGTAACTCTAAAAGAGAAAGCGAACGTGTATTCAATCTCTGATTAATTGAAAAGATAAGCATAGGGATTCGTTTGTCAGGTTTGGCAGATCTGGTTTCAAGATAATGTGAACTGACAGATGGATTTGAGATGGATGACTGATACTTACCGGAGAAAGCACATCTCCATCAAAGCGGCGAATGGTGTTGGGTTTCCGGCGGTGGGTGGGCTCTGGATGCTGGAGTTTGGGAGGAGGGTTTGGGGGACGAGGGTTGGTCTGAAGGGGGTGGTGGTACTTCTGTTGCTGTGGCGGCTGTTGCTGTGGCTTTTTCTTCTTTTTCTTCCGGCATTCCCTTCTTTGTTCCTTTTGACGAATCCGCATTAACTGCACTCTTCTCTGCTGGTGACTGATGAAGACTTTAGGAAAAAAATAAGGATGGAATTAAGAAAGACAGATAGGAATGGAAGAAATTTTCTTACATGGCTTTAGCACATCAGGTCACAACTGCAAAACAGAGGCGTTATTCTACTCTGTAAAGACACTATGCAGTGTGTATTGGCTGGGTCTCTCAAACAGTGGTCCAAAGCCAAGCTGAGAAAAAAAACGTTGAGTGTTTTGACACATTCTGCTCTGCGCAGGGCTAAGTCGACATTCTGTTCTCTGTCATTATTAAAAACAGACGGATTATTTCTGCCCATTGTGTCACTCTGTTGTGCCTCAACAGCTTCGTTGCCCATCTGTCAGGGAATTCATGTAATGATCTTTCTCTCTCGCTCTCCCCCTCAGAAAGCACTCCTCCCACTCTCGTCTCTATTCTTCTGCCCCTTCCTCATCGCAGCCCCTCTCCCCAAACAAGGGCCCAGCTTGTAGCCATGGCAACCACCCCCAGCGCAGTTCACGCTGCCCGTTTTCCCGGTGTGCACTTTAATTCTGAAGACTAGTACGTTTTGTTTAGCCTTGCACTTGACAAGGAAAAGTAGAGTATGTGTGTACGTATAAAAGAGAACTGCTCAAGATCCTGTAGATATCTGGCAATATCCTCCTTTGATTTCAACTTCCCCACAATTCTATTTGTACTGTGGGACAAGTATTCTTGTTCTTATCAGTCATAGAGCTTGGTCAGGGTAGCACCATATTTGATTTCTGGTAGGAATGAAAGCTACTAGGCTGTGAGGGATACAAGTATAGTGCGTTCAGTGGATTGTACTATTGTTTAACAACACACATTTCATTTGCATTAAATTCAACATTCATTTGCATTAAATTCAATATGGTGTCTAACCCGACTTGAGTTCTATGGAGAGTGAGACTTATACCCTTGGAAATTTCATGCATACTCTCTTGCCCTGCTGAAGATGTTGGTGGTTGCTTTCTACAAGACAGTGATGAAGCAATTTAAAAGTCCCCATTCATGGATTTCAGGTCAAGCCTTCCCATTGAGTCACTCAGAGACTCTATGGGAGCTTGTTTGGAGGGCACAGCTGAGCCAGTCTGATCTGCACAGGAGGACACCCATAAATAGAAAACAGCCAAAAACATATTACCCCAAAACACCAAGGTTACCCAGGGGGGAATTTCAGAAAGACAACTTGTTGTAATGAAGACCATGGAGGGACGTCCTCTCTTAAAGGAATAGTTCACTCAAAAATATAAATTCTGCTGTTGCAAACTCGTATGGCTTTGTCTATTACAGAACACAAAAGAATATATTTTGAAAAATGTTTTGGATTCTTTTGCCCATAATATTATGAAAATCAACATTCAAAACTAAATAGGGCATACCGATTTACTCACTCTTTTTGGAGCTTGAAAGTTATGGACCCCACTGACTTTCATAATATGTATAAAAAATTTCTTCAAGACATTCTTCAAATGATCTTCTTACAACACAAACAAAATGACGGCGAGTAAATAATAAGAATATTTATTTTTGAGTGAACCATTCCTTTAAAGGGTTTAATGGTGATGTTACTTAGGGACAAAATCCTGCAGACTTTAACTCTAATCCTAATCAAACACAGCTGAACCAGTTAATCAAAGACTTCAGGATTACTAGGCTTTATCTGAAATCGCCCCCCCATACCCTCATTCACCATTACTTCACCATAATAACGAGTGAATGAAAACAAGTGAGCAAATTCAAACACTGAATGCATCAGAAGGGCTGTGGACACAATCTGGTGAGATGTGGGAATTCATTCAGCGTGACCCTTAGAATGCATGGGTATTCTCTAAAGCAGTGTTTCCCAACCCTGGTCCTGGAGGCACCCCAACACTGCACATTTTGCATATCTCCTTTCTCTGACACACCAATTTCAGGTCTTGGAGTCTCTACTAATGATCTGATAATCTGAATCAGGTGTGTTTGATTAAGAAGACATGCAGAGTTGGGGTGCCTCCAGGACCAGGGTTGGGAACCACTGCTCTAATGGCTATCAGTTAAGTGTATATTGGTTGTGCACTTGTTATTGCGGTGCATTATAAGGTGAAATGAGTTCACTCCATAATGTCCACTATGGATTTGGAAACCACAACAAATGGCTGAACCTTCAAACAGCACATTATAAGGGTATAGGGGATGATTTCTGGAAACTCTTGAGGACCGGATCAGGAGTGGCCACCACTTGTATTACACTAAAGGCCCTGGGTTTACTTCCTTTTCTGCATTCCGCTCCATCTAGCACACAGTTGAGCGCACAAGCTATTCAAAGTATACTTCATTGACCATGAGCATGGATGGATGCACTACCTAGTGGACCTATGTTTTTGAGTTCTAAAAGTACTCGTACATTAAAAGTACATACTTAGTGACGGATACCAGCTTTTATGGAACACACTTGTTGGTTCGCATGGAGTTCACAGTTTTAACTTGCATGTTTTAATTTATTTTCAAGATCTGAGGTAAACTATCTATTGTTGCTTTCAGTATGGCTATAAAGGTAAAGCAAAATTATCAGTACCTGAGATTATCATTGTCATAGTTTGCATGTTGTTGTTCCAGCCGCATTGTCATAGTTTGCATGTTGTTCCAGCCGCAACTTTGCAGAAATACAAACTGTTTCTAAAACAGAATCACTTGTCGTGGCGGGTTAGGACAAAAACATATTAAAATTATTAAAATGGAAAAGATACCTATTTATTGTGTGTCGCCCCGCGTCTGGTTAGGACACGGGGTCAACCTGTATGATTTACTTTCTTCTGTTGAACACAAAAGAAGATATTTTGAAGAATGTTTGCTCTTGCTGTTTGCCGTTGATGGTAGCCATAGTCATTTACTTCCATAGTATGGAAAATATATTAGTTATTATTAGCTGCCATCAACTGTTTGGTTACCAATGTCTTCAAATATCTTTTGGGTTCTAGTGACGGATACCAGCTTTTATGGAACACACTTGTTGGTTCGCATGGAGTTCACAGTTTTAACTTGCATGTTTTAATTTATTTTCAAGATCTGAGGTAAACTATCTATTGTTGCTTTCAGTATGGCTATAAAGGTAAAGCAAAATTATCAGTACCTGAGATTATCATTGTCATAGTTTGCATGTTGTTGTTCCAGCCGCAACTTTGCAGAAATACAAACTGTTTCTAAAACAGAATCACTTGTCGTGGCGGGTTAGGACAAAAACATATTAAAATTATTAAAATGGAAAAAATACCTATTTATTGTGTGTCGCTGGGTCGCCCCGCGTCTGGTTAGGACACGGGGTCAACCTGTATGATTTACTTTCTTCTGTTGAACACAAAAGAAGATATTTTGAAGAATGTTTGCTCTTGCTGTTTGCCGTTGATGGTAGCCATAGTCATTTACTTCCATAGTATGGAAAATATATTAGTTATTATTAGCTGCCATCAACTGTTTGGTTACCAATGTCTTCAAATATCTTTTGGGTTCAACAGAATAAAGAAACTCATACAGGTTTGAAACAACTTGAGGGTGAGTAAATGATGACACAATTTTCATTTTGGGTGAACTATCCCTTTAAGCCATAGTTTTGCCTACAATTGCTTGCAAAACTTACCTTCTGTGTGTGAATATCCTTCAGCCGTGACCTTCCACTGAATAAGAACACCCAGCAGCGCCAGCACAGGCCAAACTCCCATGATCACCCATGTGAACCAACACACTGGGCGAGGTGGATCCACCTTCACCCTCTCATAGATATACCTTGTCAAAGAGAAGAGCTCAACAAAATAATCCACAGTCACAGTCACCACTGCTGATCCGAAGACGGCGGTGGAGAGGGTGGTGAAACAGCGCTGCCACTGCAACGTGAGCACCGCAAACAGCATGCCCGAACCCAGCAGCACACCCAGGGGAAGCCACACTGTCCTCGGGTGGTAAAACTCCTCCAGAACCACCAGAGAGGCAAGGGCCACCAGTAAACCCAGGAGAAGTCCAACCATGAAAAGCCCCACGCTACGGACCAGCATAGTGACCAAACCGCACAACGTGCCAATGCCCAGGCCGATGCCCACGCTGGCCTCAACACTGAGCTGAGTATCCATGACCCTCTCCTTATAACAGAGCATGAAGATGATGATGGAACCAAACATCAGACCCGTGAGGAACATTACAGCCTTGAAGCAGCGGTACCCTACAAGGGAAGAAAGGTGGAGAGGGCAGGACAGGGGAGGAGGAGGGGGTGGGAAAGAAAATAGTTTTGGAAGAGAAGTTTATTTTATTAGCAAATGGCATTGCAATAAAATATATGTTGATAACGATCATAAGCTCTGAACATTTTTATTCAATATGGATAAGTCTAACAGCCTATCACGCAGAAGAAATAACCGGGACAGTCCCTTTTTGACTTGCATTTCAAAGTACATGCCAATTGTAAGCTACAGGTGTAAAATTACATTTAAAAAAACACACTGAAACTCTGGAGGTCTTTACTGCCAAATTAAAAGCTTGTTTTAACTTGAATTAATTAGGACAGAAATACTACTATTGTATAGTAATTTGCTTTTATAGTGAAGTAATTTACTGTAATATTCATATTATTTTTAATGAATATCATACAGCCGAGATAGTTTTCATTTTTTTTAATTTATAAAGCATACAAGTTCTGTTGTGCAGGACCTTATATGACAAAAAATTTAAAAGTTAATTTTTATATTTTCATTTAATTACTTTTTAGAAGAATGATAAGATTATTCAAGTAAATTCATTTCATTAGATACAATTTTTGATGATACATTTGTATTAAATCATAAAACACAGAATCCACAAAAAAATTTAATGGAAAACACAGGATTTGGGAACAATTCAAACAGATTTCAATTTAAACAATTCTACATTAAAAAAAAGATTATACATTAAAATTCAATCCCAATGTCTAACTAACATAATACATATCATGATGAATATATTCATTAAGATTATATTGAATGATATGGAAAATTTTTTTTAAAAAAAATCACCCAAACCTACTATATATTCAACAAGATAAGGGACAAGAACGTTGTCTGTTGCTGGGCATATTTAAAACAGCTCTACTTGAAATTCCAGGGATAAACGTTATGTTTGGTAACATATGAGTGGGATGATCAGAATTGCCTTAAGTGAAGGTGTTTGTGCCATTAATGCCCATTCTATTGAAGATAGTTTTCATTTTTTTTAATTTATAAAGCATACAAGTTCTGTTGTGCAGGACCTTATATGACAAAAAATAAAAAAGTTAATTTTTATATTTTCATTTAATTACTTTTTAGAAGAATGATAAGATTATTCAAGTAAATTAATTTCATTAGATACAATTTTTGATGATACATTTGTATTAAATCATAAAACACAGAATCCACAAAAAAATTTAATGGAAAACACAGGATTTGGGAACAATTCAAACAGATTTCAATTTAAACAATTCTACATTAAAAAAAAGATTATACATTAAAATTCAATCCCAATGTCTAACTAACATAATACATATCATGATGAATATATTCATTAAGATTATATTGAATGATATGGAAAAATAAATAAAAAAATCACCCAAACCTACTATATATTCAACAAGATAAGGGACAAGAACGTTGTCTGTTGCTGGGCATATTTAAAACAGCTCTACTTGAAATTCCAGGGATAAACGTTATGTTTGGTAACATATGAGTGGGATGATCAGAATTGCCTTAAGTGAAGGTGTTTGTGCCATTAATGCCCATTCTATTGCTACAGTTACTGTACAAAAGTAGCTTTTAAATCAACAGGAGCCTTTCATAATGCATTGAGCTTTTCACTAAGAGGTTATCTGCTTTCACCTGATGCAATTTAGAACTGTTAATAATGGTCTAAATTGGCAGCAGAAGGGCAAGAAGAATGAATAACATGTTTTAACATTTTAACAGAGAGAAGACACTATTCTGCTGTTCGCCACAGCTGAAATGACCTCGATCCTGCCTCTCTCTCTCTCTCTCTCTCTGCAGACCTCGCTGAACCACCCCCCCCTCGCCACATACCCCCACCGCCCGACTCAGGCTGGGGAGCCCTCCGGCCTGCAGCCTCCCCCCCCCCATTCCGGGAGAGGAAGTCAGCTAATACATATCATGATGAATATATTCATTAAGATTATATTGAATGATATGGAAAATTTTTTTTAAAAAAAATCACCCAAACCTACTATATATTCAACAAGATAAGGGACAAGAACGTTGTCTGTTGCTGGGCATATTTAAAACAGCTCTACTTGAAATTCCAGGGATAAACGTTATGTTTGGTAACATATGAGTGGGATGATCAGAATTGCCTTAAGTGAAGGTGTTTGTGCCATTAATGCCCATTCTATTGCTACAGTTACTGTACAAAAGTAGCTTTTAAATCAACAGGAGCCTTTCATAATGCATTGAGCTTTTCACTAAGAGGTTATCTGCTTTCACCTGATGCAATTTAGAACTGTTAATAATGGTCTAAATTGGCAGCAGAAGGGCAAGAAGAATGAATAACATGTTTTAACATTTTAACAGAGAGAAGACACTATTCTGCTGTTCGCCACAGCTGAAATGACCTCGATCCTGCCTCTCTCTCTCTCTCTCTCTCACTCTCCTATCAAATAATGGACAGTGAAAGCAAATTTCACAGTCAAGTGAAAGTGATACAGCTTATCTAATAGAGAGGGACATAGATTTGTCACCCTTGTCTGTTTGTCACATTCAGATGGTTATTATGTGAATTAAATTAGGCTATAAACAACCACAGCTGAAACTATGTTTGTGATAATGAGACAAAAACATAACCCATGCATTCAGGTCATGCCAGAATCTGTGCTCATTCTGACTAATACTTTCTTACGTAAATCTACATTTCTCCAAACCACACAGCTCTTAGTCTTCTAAATATACTCGTTCATCCTTCGCAACCTACCGAAGAAGCAGTAGATGATGCCAAAGAGGCAACACATGGAGCAGACGACAGACGGGACCACCTCATAGCGCCGTTCAATGTCCTCATCACAGCTGAACAGACGCTCTGGACTCCCATCCTGAGAGGGTGGGGAAAGCTTAAACTCCAGAATCTGGGCAGTGGACGCCATGCTGTCAGTGTGTGTTAGAGAGTGTTATGTATCTTCATGGGAGCCGAGGAAACAGGGAGAGTGGGGTCATGTGGAAGGTAGAGGGTGCAGAGAAGGTTCCCATCCACTACAATTGACCTGTTCAAAGAGATAAGAAGATGGTTGCAGATATTAACTCAATGAGCGTCAGAGAGAGTTTGACTCTACCTGTCAAAATAAACATGGTTCAGTCAGATCACATTTAAAAATTCTCTTTGTGTCAAGTCTAATGCCAAGCTGCTGTCTGACTCTATTAAACTCTTAGGTCAAGTCATATTTTCTCTTCATTTAGTCATCTAGAATCTCTTCACTCTTCAAAATACATAGTGGCATTACCTGACATTTTAAAAACTGAAAATGTCAGTCTGGGATAAATAACCCCTAACGTCAACACTCTGGCTCAGAAAAGCCCTCAAAGGCTTATTCAAACTGCCTTAGTAAACATAACATAAAAAGTATTTTATAATTCTAATCTAAAACCGAACAGTGCTGTATATTATGTCAGTGGATTTGTGCACTGTGTTGGTTGACAGCAGTGCTTTAATTGCTTTTAAGTGCATCACACTGAGCATATTTGCCTTACTGAAAAGTCAATATTTGTTAGTGTGTACTTCAAAGAAGCAAAGTGAGCACTTGTTAATGCACAAGCCCAAATGACAGAACAGAACATCAATGTTGTTTGGCAAAATATGAATTAGATTTTTTACAGAATTCCTCCTACGTTTTACATAAAACATCCAAACACAAAAGACTACATCTCTTTGTCAGTGAGAGATTTTGCTTGCTTTAGAAAAAAAGCCTCCATCACACTACAAATGGTCCATTGCACAATACAGTTTCAGGGGGAAAAACTGCTCCATTCATTTATATGTTGGTTCCCTCTGCTTAGGGATGTAACGGTATGAACATTTCTTATCACGATTATAGTTACCAAAATGATCACGGTTATCAGTATTATCACGGTATTGTTAAAATGTGCTGGAAATGTTCAAAAAGTACTGACACCAAGTATTATGTGACACACATAATTTCACCAAGTTTTTCATTTAAAATCAACAAACACCACATAAAATGAGCATTTGTTTGCATATCTAAAACAATAACATTGCCAATGATGTCCAGATTTTAAATGACAACATGACTGACAACAGTTTATCTAATAGCATGTTCAAATATCTAATGTAAATGTCAAATATCTAATGTAATAAAACTGTGTTTTATGCTTCAGGGCTCCAGGCTCATTCTTCCCACTGGTCGCTTTTTTGCGACTTTCTCAGTTGGTCACACCAGCACATGATTTGTTCGCAATATTTTTATTTTTAGGAATTAATCAATGCATGCTGATGAACTTTTATCATAGTTTATAGTTATATGAAAACGAAAGTGGTTAACATTCAACCCCTTCTTTTTCATCAGTATTATTTGTGATATGAATTTTGTGAACGGACTTTCTCTTTAGCTATGTTATAAGCCGTGCTTTGGATGCTTTCACTTTTCACACGAATTCGCGATATTGGTGTCACGTTTTACAAGAAAAGATAATTGTCTGATACAAATTTCACTTTTTAAGACTAAAACAAAAGATGGATTCATTGTTATTCTTAATTAAAAAGCATAACAACAATAAAACAGTAAGATACAATGACAAACCTCTGCTATTCAGACATCAGGCATTATATTATATCAATTTATTCAAAAATCATCTTTTTTTCCATAGGATTCGGTGCCGTTTGGGATGGTAATATAATGCCTGACGTCCCAAAATGCACCAAACTCTATTGGAAAGCTACAAAAAAAAGTATATATTTGGAAAAATTGCAAATATCCACTCTGCTACTCTCAGATGAATGTCTTATCTCTTTCTAGTCATGCTTTGATTAGGCCTGAAATGACATTATCAAACATTTCTACTTATTTACATAAATCATGACGCATGTTTCAGAACAATATAGCTCTACAGCTCTGTGACAGAATGCTAGGGGTAACCTCAAATTGGCAATAAGGCCAGACATTATTATTGGAAGCCTCTTGTGTTATGAGAGATTCTCCAATGCAAACGAATGTTTTCTTGGTGCAAGAAATGTTATAGAAAGTAAAGCCTTTATATAACTGCGATAACACCTCACTTCCTGTCTGATGTCATAACAACAATGTAATTCTGGGATGTTACAAGTTGCACAAAATACACCATTTGGCTGAGATGAGGACAGCGACCTGCCACCATGGCAACAGCCTGAGAACCAATCAATGTTTCAGCCTTACTTGCAGTTTTTTTCAGTGGTGGAGAGTTTTCTCTCCCCCTTAAGCAAACCCCTCCCCTTCTGCACCAAATACGTGCAAATAATAACTAAAATACAACACTTGGGAGAGCCTGGGAAAGAGAGAATGATAGGAAGACAGATAAATCAAGAAAAAAGTGATCAGGAGACACAAAAAAAAAAAAAAAAAAAAAAAAGCTGGTAGCTGTGATTTGGAACATGGTCGCTGGTTTCCTGCTGGTCCAAACTGGTCTATGCTGAGCATTGACTGGTCCAAAATAGTTTGGATGCGCCACAAACCAGATGTTTTTTTGAACATGCTGACTGGTCAACCATCCAATGACCAGCTTGGACCAACTAATGGCCAGAACCAGTTATAAGAATAGTTCACCCAAAAATGAGAGTTCAAACACATGATAAAAAAAAAAATACCACAATAATCCACAAGTTATCCATTTCATGTAACTCTGGTCGATCAATTAATAGATTGTGAAGTGAAAAACTGTGTTTTTATGAAACAAAACCATCAAGGCGTTTTAAATTTAAACCGTTGCTTCCGTCCCAAAATACCAGTCCATAATCCATAATAACACTTCCTTCAATGAAAAAAATCAAGCCCCTTGTTGTCATTATCTCTTATCAAAATCCATCGACATATTTGTTTAGAATAGTTTTGGACTATTTTTGCTTGTAAGCGGTGCTTGATCTGTGCATATTTATCTACTGAGCAACTCGTTGACTGGAGTAAACTAAATTATGGAGAGACAACTTGTATTTTAGCTGAAAGCACTTCGAAGTTAAAAATGTCTTAAAGTGACCCCATTATGCCACTTTTAAGGTTCCTAATATTGTTTTGGGAGTCTCCTACAAAAGGTTTACATGCATGCAAGGTAAAAAAAACGCTTTCGTATTCTCAACATATGAATTTAATATCACCTCATTTTCCAACGATTCGTTCAAAGCAATTTTAAGATTCAGTCTCTCTAAACCCCTCCTTTCTGTGAGCCTACTCTGCTCTGATTGGTCAGATGCCCAGTCTGTTGTGATTGGTCTGCGTGTTGGAAATGTCAATTGCCATAGTTCTAGATTGAGAACGCTCAATAGAAAATATAAACATCTATTATTTATCACACTTACATGTGATTCAGTGGAGCCAGCTGGTCTAAATAAACTGTGTACTGAACCATCTTTCAAGAGCAAGCGGTTTGTGAATCCCGCGCTGAACTCCCCGAGATTAGAGAAGCAGTCGTCAGTAAAATGACGGGAACACAAAAACTGGGCTTGTACTGCTGTGGTACAGTGGGAAAAAAAACAACATTTTAACCACTGATTCTTTTTAGCCTCGTCATTCGGAAGTGAAAAAAAAGAAAAGCATTTACTTTCACAGTGTAGGACACAGCGTCTTCTCGACATGATGTTAACCACACAAAGCTACATTGTTTGAGGGTGGTCAAATTGTTTGCAGTCGCCCAACATAGAACATAGGTGGGTATTATGCAAACGTATTACCCTAGCCATGCAGCCATCACAGAAGTGGGATTCAAAGTACTGACGACTCATTTAGGCTGTTGAGTCGATGAAAAAACAAACTCATCTACATCTCTCAGATCACCTGAAGGTAAATAAAATTTTTATTAAGCCATGTTTGCCTTCATCCATGCATGAGTAAACTTGTAGCACACAGTTCAAACAGGCTCGTGTTACAACAAGGAAAAAGAAATCGATCTGGACCAACACTTCACGACAACTCTCAGCACTCAAGTGAAAAATTCATCAATTGGATGGAGAGACAGAAATAGATAACATTACATGAAATTTCACCATTGGAACGGCCTGGGAAAACCACTTTCAGGTATTACTTCATCTCCATGCAAAGAGCATTATTCAATGCCAACTGTCTCAGAGGACAAGAAGCCGTCTTCAACTTCTTTTCAATCACTAAAAAAAAAACTCTGTTGTTCTCTTTCTATCTTCTGATGGTACCTTCGGAACGTCCCAGTGCACTTCAGATCATGAGTCCTTGTCTGCCTCAGGTGTAGATGTCAGTCATGATGTAGAACAAAAGGCTCTATTGAGCTTGCGACTTCACATGAATATTTTACAGACCGCTGAAAGGCCCGCAGAGAAAATGTCAGCAGAATGAAGCTCGACCCATGTAAGCACGTGCATTATAGTATACAGTATGTAGGTGCCCTGATTATTCGATGGAAAATGGCAGATCAATGTAAACCGCTGTCCAGCTGAACAAAAACAGACAATGTGATGGGCTTGAGAAAAGCCTCTGGAGACTGTTTCTAGAACTAGCAGCCTTGCTTGAGAGCACAAAAAATGAAAAACACTGTGGAAAGTAGCCCAGATCTGTGCTATAAGCAGCCCCATGTGTGCATCTAGGTTAACGACTACAGCAGTCAATATAGGCACCTGGTGGTCCTGAACGTGCATTATGCCCCCTATGTCTGCTATAATGTGGGACACTGGATGCACAATTCACAGATGACAGAATCAGGTAAACACCCATCCAGCTGGAAAGAAACCAGCATAATGCTTATGCATTGCATGTAAAGAGATGTAGAAAGGAGAAAACTCAATTACTTAAGTTAAGGACAATGGCTGTTGAGTCGATTCTTTCTTTTCGAAGACAATAACTTTATTTATTATGCACTTTCGGCTTTACAACTTTGCTGATAGTTTACATTCACATACTGCTACATTACACACTGTATGAAAGGCAATATTCAAAACGGCATAATAGGGGCACTTTAATGATAGATTTATTTATTATAAACACACAGCTTTACACTTCATAAGATGTTAATTGATGGACTGGAGTCGTATGGATTA